TCGGATTCATTGACAGACTGCAGAAAAGACGAAGGCCCGAACTATACAAGCCGACGGTGGATATTTTTTTACGAATCATGGGCCTGTATCCTAGAGTCAACAGCTGGAATAGTCCGCACAATGCAACCACTTTACCTATTTGGCCTTTCGTTTCCAGATGAAGCTAGATGATGAAACGGTAATGCGCGTATAAACGGTGGCTATCAAATCTTACGTACGAAAGCAAAGATTCAAGAGCTTACGGAATATATGGTGGAACATAGCCCGACGGACCAGTGACTCCGGTACGGTCGTAATTTTTAAACATAACGCTATTCGAGAGAAAACTACAGCAACGCATGCGAACTCGCTGCGAAAGGTTTCTTGCCCCATACGCGTTTGCTTTATCTCAATAACAAGATAGAATACCATAGCTTAACGAATTTTTCCGAATGTACTATTCTAGTAAACTCTTTCGAGTGTACCTAAACGCACATGAAGTTCTTCTTTCAAATCATGTCTTATCGTGGGTACCCTGTGGCATGTAAACCGCTTGACGAAAATTCGGTGACCGAATTAAGATTTCAATCAATCCACAAGTCGGTTGTTATGCTATTGTTATTTTGGACGAATCTGTAGGCAAACAAGGGTACACGTGAGGTTTAGCGACAGATGAATGTCAATCATCGACAATAGCTTAGTCAATTTCCAGTTCTCCTAATCAGCCTTTTGCTGTATGAACGAAACCTATAGATGAAAATGAGAAACACGCTTGTGGCCTGTCTTAGACGAAGCCAACATTCTACTGTTATTATCGCGGCCGCTATTACTACTCTTGTACGAGTTTAAGGCACAAACGCATTTATACCCCTGATACTGCAAAAGCTTCATCCCACCCCACGTAGTCTATAGTAAAGGAACGACCCCAATTCGATACTTCGATTGCTGCTGCCGCTAAGTGGCCGAAACAACGGCGTTTCTGCGACCTTGGCTTCGTAGTAGGTGCTCAAGCATCAAATGCAATAGGTTTTAGCGCACTAGATGGCGCTGTTGTCATAAGTGGCCAGTCTTAAACAGACCCAGCTTTACGAGTCGTGCAAGCACAGTGCCGTAAGTGACTAATGATGATATTGGCTTGTCGCTTAACAACGCTCTCTTTGCCTTTGTTTGGACGGCGGCAATGGAGATGATGACTTCTCTGTCTAATTATTTATTTATTTCCAGAAAATTGAATAATCCAAAAAGAGATCATATTAGAGTGATCTTTTTTCGTGTGCGTTGTATGAACTATGTTGCCGTTTTAAACTGTTTTCCTATCGATAGTGAAACCACACGAGGCCTTATCCACCTCATCAATTAAAATTTATACACACCTTTTGTTAAGTAAGTGCACGAAGAGTATGGTATACTAAAATATTCAACGAACTTCTAGAGCTGCGTCGGCTGCGTGTCCTGTTATAAGGTTACGACAGCGATAAATGAATTCAGCTAGCGTTTGACGTACATTCTAATAATAAATAATTATAACAACGTTTAACAACCAATAAGTTTGTATCGTGAATTAATTTGCCTACGATCATGCGTGTCTATCCGATCCAGCTCGGTATCACCTTTAATGTGCAAGTAACAGATGATTTAGAAATTGCAAACTTTTTATCTTGAAGCGACGATAAAAATCACTAAACTCATTGACACATAGCCTCTCGATATTTCACCGAGCCTTTGGAATCCATATTTACTCACAAATCAATTTGAAAACAAATTACCAATTGGCGTACTAGAGGGCAGCACCTTCTCCTTTATATCGAAAAAAACCCCACCAACTTAAAGATGGTCCCCCTGCTCCCGCCCTCGTTTTCTCTTAATGGTTTCAAAGAAGGTAGCATCATGAACGACCACGACCGAAGCGGCACTTTGGATATCTTATGAACAACACGACGCTTCGTGTGTTTGAAGAATGAATAAACGCGATCTAGGAAAACGACTTACTCCCTACTGAGAGTACGCTTGGGCACCAGAGTCTACTGTGCGAACGGCAGCATAGGAAATACAAGTAACATGTACAACAGAATGTTTATAAAGTTGAAAGGAGATAACAACAAATAGGGATGCCAGTCAGCCGGCCAAGCAGAGAACCTCGCCTATGGCACTTTGTGGCCAGACTGGGCCGTTCTGTCCCGACTTGCATGTGATGTACTCAATAGCAATGGCTGATTTCTTGAAACTTTTGAAGAGGTGCAGCGGAATTGGGCGGGAATAAGCTTTCTGACTTAAACGATTTGGTTTTAGTAAGGTAAACGCTACGATAAATTATTGTCATTATTATTATATTTAATATTTTAACGGATTCGTAATACCTGAAACACGGTTATCTTTACTGATTATACTATTATGTTCTGGCAAGGACTTTGGATAGCACGAATGTGTGATGTTTTATCTTCTGTCCTACGGTGATTTTTTCAACGAAACACACAACACAAGGAAAGCGGCAGAACTGCCGAAGTATATGGTGAAGTTCAGTTTGGATCTGGTCCGGTTTCTATCTTAAGCGATCCATCTTGAATCATACTTGAGCGCTCCTGAGCCAGCCTCTTTTCCGGCCTGAATCTGGCGAGTAGCATAGCAAGCAGGTCATGCCGCAGATATATTATTGTAATCATAACACAGACAACAGCATAATGAAAAAAACGACGGTTGTCTGACTGAGTTGGTTGCTTCAGCAGCCAATACAACACCAAGGGTCTTCCGCTGTGAAGGCGACATAAGCCGTTTACTGCTGCTGGAGATTGTTGTAGCTTCGTCGACCAGTGCGGCTTATTGGCTCCATCACTGCTCACTACCGATGCCTACAGCCATCGTTGACGTTGCGTCTGCCGCGCGGCGAGGACAATAATGCTTTCGCTGGCTGGCCGGCTGGCAGTTGGCCACTCGCAGCTACAGGCCTTCCGGGGAAGGTGGACGACACCAGAAAGCGTTGTTTTCCTCTAAAGAACATATATATTACGGGCGCTGCTACTGCTGCAGTTATAACGCTGCCACCGCTACCAAGACAACAATAACATGGTCTGCCATACAGCACCCACCATGGCTGCTTTATCGTTCTTTCGTTACGGAGGTTCCTACAAAACTATATGAACTGAGCTCTTTCCTCACAGTTTCCCTGCTGCCCCGGCTGTACGAGACGATGAGTCTGCGTCGAGGTTGATATGCGTAACGCCGAAGTTGGACGAACCCATAATATGGTGAAGAGAAGATGAGTTAATATGACAGATTTCATTGGATCCGTTTCGTTGGACAGCGCTGTGGGACTAACTGCTAGTCGATGCAAATTCAAAGTCAGAGTCCAAAGAGTATGAGAGGTGTGAATAGAAATGATGAACCTAAGGACTAAGTAATCGTAGATTTTTTTCTGTTTCCCTAGGAAAATGAGCACTGCTTTATGGTCTTTTATCTGTTTGCCTGTCGGCAACTGTTTCCAGCAGTTCTAAATATCGACTGCCGTTATGTCCGATGCCCTTCATAGACCGACGAAGCATCACTGTAGACGTTTGTTTTATGCGGTGCGTAATCTGGCCAACTAGTTATGTTAGCTTGATTCGTTCGTTTGTTATTTTGAAAAGTAACTTTTGGCTGACGATCAGCGCAACGATTCAGGTTGCTATCAGTCCGTGGTATAATACCTGTATACGTATAGTATTGACGGGTCGGACCAACAAGTTCGTCGGTCAGGCCGCCGTTCCATCCATTACGCTCCCTCACGAGAAGTTTCCCTGGCAGAAGGGGGAGGGCAGCGGCGGTGGCGGTAAAAGGGGCAGACAGGGGCTCTAAAATGCTATATCAAAGAACGGCCGTTGTTGTGTTTTCGTTGCTTTGACAGAAGCATCGACAGAAAACACTACCAGGCCGGTGACTGAACTGTCGATGTGGACAGACGCTGCCATCCATGTCCGCCTTTTTTCTGTTTGCTTCGGGCGGGCCACGCAATATCACACCATCGTCGCCTGTAGAACAACGGTAGCGAATTTTGGGTTGATGGGCCCAAGCCGCTGGCTTTCAACAGCCGTTCAATCTACGTGCTATACCTGTCTGCGACCGTAACTCCTTACACAGATCTCGGAACCAAACCCAGCCACGCGGTACCCACGCGGTAGAAATCGGATTGGGCACCGTATGAATCACAGTGCATTGTAACGTTCCCTAAGCGTTGAATTTAGCGATGAGCACGAACAGTTTCATACGTTACGACGAGATGGCGTAACCTTAAATAACGACTTACGTTGACCCGGACATTCAGCTCCTGTATTGACTCGGCCCAATAACGGTACCATGTAGCTGTTGGGCGCGAAGCAGGCGATGTTCAGCGGCGTCGTTGGCCCTAACGACCCCCTTCTAGGCAATGGCTGTTTGCGAATGAATGCCTGTAGTCTTTGCGATACCCACTAGGAATGGCAGGTTTGATCTGATGTAGTGCCAAATATTTCGCTGCTTCCCCTACCCGATTGTCGGATGACTAGGACTAACACAGAGAGGCCAAGAAAGTTAGCCATGATCTTTTGCAGGGCTTTATTGTCAATGGAACCAAGCATAGCTGCATTCCTATAACAGAGACGGACGCAGATTGTTAGAAACAGAGCTAGGAGTACAATGAACAACTTCATTTGAAACTAAGTCCGGTAAGCCTTGGGCGCCAACATTGCAACAACGCTTTTTCGTCGCCTAAAAAAGAAGATATGGACAAAGTTCTCCTCTCACTGGATTTTTTCACCGTCCATCCCTTTTGATTGGGTTCACATCTCTGGCGGGTACAGAACAAAGCACTTGTTCCTGCGAACAAGATGCGAAGTCGACGCTGCCCAGTAGTGTACATTTACTATGTATTTACTATGTGTGTATTTACTATGAAGTAGGCCTATTGAAGGTTCTATATAGCAATAATGATTATAGACTTTCAGATGTTATTTTTCTATTATTGTTGAAATAAATATTCCAAGTCCAAATGGTAATTTCGCAACGCACGTTGAGTTCTATGCAGTTTTTTACTGCTGCTGCGACATACATGTATCTGTGCGTCTCAGTGTAAAATGAATAGCTTACTCTGTCATGCTGCATCGATGCTTTCGTTCAATAGCATAATACGATAAGGAGACAGTAGCTATGACATGATACACACTTCTATGATAGTATTTCTTCAGTAGTATTTGACAGCATCAATCCCAATATGTATATCCTTCGGCATTTGGGTTATTTTTTTTTATATTTATTCCCAGGTATAAACTGTAAAGATAAACGGAATAATATTTTGCAACGTGCACGAACCCTAAATTTAATAGCACAAAATCTCTCTATCGATGAAGGCCGTCTGGTAGCGGTAGTTTCGCTTACTCAAACTCTTAGACATCCACCATATCTTATACAATGTTTGTTTGATGCATTCATGTTAAGCTGCCATTTATGTACCCTAATTGTTTATTCTTTGAAATAGGTATCTTTAAATATCTTTGAATACTGAAAATATCTTTGAGAAACGGTATTTGTTCCCAGTGTTATCACTGGTGCGTCTATTTCACATATCTTTTCGTGTCCCTTTTACTTTTTTGCGATAAGAATATGCCACTATCTGCGACAGGCCACTGAAGTGGTCCACTAGCCTTGGGGCTTCTGCAGTCGCGGCTATTGGAAAGGTGAACTGAGCCCGCACACCGAAGCACGTCCATCTACGTGGAGATAGACATAGCACGGAACAACACGCAACCGCTGCAGTGGTAGCAAGCTATTTCATTTGTGGTATCAGTGGCGGCTTTAGAGCCCTTAGACTGGCTTGCGGACGGCAGAACGCAGCAGTTCCGGGATGCCACAGTGGGTTTCATCTAGAAGAGTCCTGCGTGAACCAACTGATTTGAACCAACGGCTGCTGACCGCTTCGTCACTGATGTTCGCTGCGGCATACCGCACCGAGACACTTCGATGCAAACATGGATACGCGCCGAGCAGGTCGTGAAAAGTCATCGGAGGCGCGCTGTTGCAGTTATCCCACATAATATGCGATTGTCTTCCGTGAGTACTATATAAGAAAACATGGGAAGGTCTAGTAATAAAAACCAAATCTACTGTGCGTGTAAGCTACTGATTGGTTGTATAGCGTTTGAACGCACGAGTTTACTCTTGCATACAGCCTGATAAAATCAGGTAGGTCAATCATCTCGCATTGTAGGCTAAAACTTTATAATATATATATTGTGAATTAGTTAAATAGGTACGAAGAGTAATGTGACAAGCAAATGTAATGGTTGTAAGGCTGAATATTTGTGTTGTTTTCTACATACTACTGCATTTTGAACTGAAAAATTTTTGAGTAAGCCCATTGTTTGTTTGAAAAGCCTCTACATCAATCTATAAACGTATGTTTCATGAAACAGTCGTATGAACTGCACATTTTGTTAGAGCAGGTGTAATCGATTAACGCTGTGCACAAACCTTATATTCTCTAAGCGGTATGCTTGATTCTATACGCTTAACAGGTTTTCACTGATGTCACATAATCAGATGACCGGCGTCGTGCAGCATCTATACAGACGACCACCGCAATAGGCCTCTATAGAATAAAACCTTAATATCAAATTGAACGTTCTGGTAGGACAAGGCGTAAGGGGGCTCGCATATTATTATGTGCCTTATTAGGCGTAATTGCATGCGGTATTCCATCTCCAATGCGGAAATCCGTATACGCGATTACGCGATACGGGATATAGCGAGCAAGAGACTGCAAGCAGATATCTAGTCTGTTAAATCGTATATAGGCCTGCTCCTATGGGATAGCACAAGCTACGGAGTAAGACCCAAAGGCGAAAGAACAGAAACGACCTGATAACCAGTCGGATCAAAGTTTCTTCCTCTATAGTCTATGATTGTACTATGATGTACGTGGCAATGTATCTAGCGAACTGCCGGAACAACCACGCTGGTGACACCAGCAGCAACAGCAGCAGTGATGGACTTTGCAGCACTGACCGATCCATGCATCGCCCACTCTCCTTGCTTGGTCTTCCGGCTGACGTATTTGTGTCGCTGGACGCTCCTTGATAGCCGTAGAACAAAAGCGTTATGCGAAGTTAATGTTAAACGTATTATCTATGTGTGGCATATGGCGCAAAACAGATTATGTATGTGTGGCGTACGACGCGAAACAGATCACTTAAAGTCGATGTAAAGTTGAATTTTCTATTAATCGATTAATTTGAGGTAAACATTATTTTCAGTACGTCAATGGTAGTAAACGAAGACCTGTAAAGTACGTTATATCCTTCTGAGCTGGAGGGATATTATTAAAAACAAGTATTTTACGTATTGCCACAAGCTGGCAAAAAAAAGTACAAAGTTTAACGATTTTGTGAAATTTACAAGTATAAGACCCCATTAATTCGCATATGCACATCAAGATTAAAACCGAAAACCTTCTGGTTCCAAGTGTCTACCACAGTTGTCTACATTATATTACGGACGATGTAGACAACAGCGCGTAATCAATGATTATTATATTTAATAGTCACCGTTTAAACATCAGTAGCAATTCTTTGGCTTTAAATTTAGTTGCGTCTAAGAGGGCTCGTAATGGAAATGGTGAAAATGCATTCGATGGTCCCGGCAATACCACTGATAATGTCCCCAGTTCTCCCCATAATGACTGGGTCCACGAGACACGTATTGACTCTAATCCGTAGTATTACTTGCCATCTAAGCTGTATTGCAATGAAAAGTGCTCGACTGATCAAGCAGCGGCTATGAAAGAAATGCATTTGGCAGACAGCGGTTGATTAGAGATATTACGAACGGAAATGGAAAATCGCTATATACGATTAGCCTAAACTTCAAGAGCACACAATCTAGGTTTTCGCGGATTACCTCTGCTAAGGTCCATTTTGAAATCTAGATCTATTGACGAGAACCTTGGTAGAGAAACTTATACCATTTATGTTCGTAACTTGTGCGGGCCAAGACAGATACGCACATCGTCAACTGAAACCGCCCCGCAGAGCATTACTTCTCATGAAGCACAAGTGAAAAACTTTATTCGATCTATATTTGCCCCTTGAGCAACGAGCGATCGCTAATCTCTAGGCTAAAGCTATTACGTGATACGTCACAAGACCGTAACGCTAATTAAGGGTTTTCGTTTAAAAATTAAATTCTAGCTTAAAATTATGTGTGTATATATGTTTTGGAGTTGGATGTGTGTATGTCCGGTGTGAGTGTATGTGTGTGTATTCCAGTTTTGCAGAAAGGGGGGTTGCGCTAATCGACGTCAGGTGATGGCGACCAATAAAAGCGCTGTCGATGGCATCAACCCGGCAGATGATTTTCCGCCAGTGAGACCATCTATAACGACATCGTTGACGCTTTCGACAATACTTTTCACGGCCTTCAGTAACCATACGCTGCTACCTACTATCGACCTTGTTTCGATGCCACATTTGCTAGCTTTATAGTACCGGTCTGGCAGCCATAGAAAACACACCGTTATATACACACACACACCCAGACGCACACACACACACACACACACACAAAGAAAGCTATCTGTCAACTTTGTCTAGCATTATGAACGCTTTCTTTATGTAACTGAGGATAAAGATCGAAGAAGAGCACTAGAATAGCAGGCAGTTTCTATACTTTCAGCTGCCTCTTGAACGCAGTCTAGCCTTGTGCAATGTTCTTACCGAAGTACGTTGTGTACTACAACGAAGGCTTGATGCGTAAATGTCCTAATTATTATTGAATTAATAATTATATGACAAAAAAAAACCTGTATGCAATTTGTAACTTCGCATTTTGCCTTGAGACTTTTTCTTTTACCTTGCGATCAAAATATTTCAGCTTGTACACGTCTCACTCACCCTATTATTAAGCCGTCCATGGTAGCATCGTAAGCATAGCTACTATTCACAATGATCTCTTTGAAGAGAACCCAACTATTAAATATCATATACACAATGTATAGATATGTATATATGCACCCTAGGATTCATAATGAACGGGCGTAAGGTGAACAGATACTACACTGGTTCTAACGTCGCCGGTACGTGTTACCAACTACCATGTTAACATCGGTTAATCCTCCCCCGTGTTCTCTCTTCCTCCCCTTCGAATCCTAGCAAAACTGAAAATTTTTCTTAGCAGCGATATTCGGAGGTAATCACAGCCGACAAACATGAGGAGCCACTTGTAGAGTGAATACATGGTCTCCCGCGTGGACTTGATCGAATTGGTTGGTCAACAATAAGGCCGAGTATAACTGTTACAGCTAAAAACGAGAAATGCTATCTTATCGGATGCATAGGCCTGGAAAGGCCCGAGTTAGCTATAGTGGGGGAAACTAGATGCAATAATGATCCTTAATTGATCTGAGGATTGCTGCTTCATACTATAGTGTAGCATACAGGGCAGAACCTAGATACCGCAAATCGGTATAACAGTACGAATAGCTGCCATGTGAACGTGCAGACAAGCTTGACCTGACATTCATCATTCATCCTACTACTCCGTCGTCTTGCGATGTTAGTAGGATAATGGATCGCGGTTAAACGTGGCTTATCGTGCCTAGATATGGGACACTCCCATCTTACTATAAGATTTCTTACAACCTTCCACTCAACTACAATATCAATAGATCAATATAAGCAAGTAAATCAAGGAATGTCTTCTTACACCTTTAGGAACACTTTGCAGTATAAAGATTTTGCTATAGAAAGAGAATATTTGATATTGGCTTTACTGGATGCGATGCACTGCTAGCACGCAGTTCGAGTACGTCATGTTCATGGGGAAAACTTCTTAAAATTGTTGAACTGATTGAATACTGACAATAGACTACAGACGCGTGCGCTATGAAACTTTACGACGAATAACACTTTCCCTCCGCCATGTCTTGCTTAGATATATGTTATTTGCGTTACAAGCAGTAAACTTAACATTATTGCTAAGAATATCGGCCGTCCACGCTATATAGTCATCCGTATACGTTCTCCGATTTTGCACTCGGATGATCAACATACATGAATAGCAAATGCACGATTTTTATCTTGCTATTTCACTCAAAAAAAATTTATCTTTTCCCTCCTCACCCCTTTCAATCATGTGTCACCTGCCCCATATGTACGGCACTAGATAATGATCTAGCGGCAGCAGGTGCGTGAGTTTACGAGGTGACGCATCAAACGTCATTGGGAGGTACTCCGGAAGGAATGGCAGCAACACGAGAAATACGCGCCAATTCATTTGAACGTCATATCATCTATGTGATTATCTGCGAAAACATAGGGGTCACTATGCCCTATATGGCGCTAGGGGGTTCTAGGAGTACTAACCAAGTACCAATAGTCCTTCGCAACGTTTAAGGACACGCACAGACAACCAGTACAAAAGGACGAACCACTGCAGCCGCGGCGGCGGCGGCGGCAGAAATATGAACCGGTGCGGTCGCGTCACCGTTGTAGTAGTAGCAGACGTAGATACAGCAGCGATAGCTGCGAAGAATTACGAGAATAGGCGCGACAACGCAGCATCGGCGCCGAACTTATGCGGCGCCGCCGTTACTCAAACTGAAGACTTCACGGGGCGGCGAACCTAATTCAAAAAATGAAATTCTTCATTTCGCTGGCTTTTCGTTTCAGCCATTTTACTGGCCGCCGCCGCCACCAACAGCAACAAACTCGAACAAGCACACACTCTCGAAATCTCCAAAACCTTTGGCGAAGTGAGTCTCAGCTCACTTCACTCATGCAATCGTATTATTCATAGGCCATTGAAAATAGTAGCCAGGCGGCACAGAGGCTTGAAGGGCGCACACATGACCTTTTTCATGCATGAGTGATAGTGAAACACCAACAATATCATTAACAGGCAACAGCATTTACGGTGGTATCATTAACAACGGCACCAGCTGTAGTAGAACAGCCGATACTGCGGCAGGTGGCGGGACGACAACTAATGATGACGCACAAGCAGCAAATCATACCTCCTATCTCAATCGCAGCAGTTAGCAATACATCGACACCACTATATCACCGCCTCAGCCTGCCACTGTTGCCGGTGCTCCTACTCTTAACTTCCGCTACTCGTATGACTTACAGCGAGCGACCACCCGCTCCAAACTTCTTATGAAACAGACCGACAGCCATGGCAACAGGGCAAGTCTGAATGAACATTAGAAATGCCACTATTGCTAGAATATCAGCTGCAACAGCAGCGGCAGCAACGACAGTAAGCGCGATCACGGCTAACTACGCGAAAGCAAAGGAGAACTGCACGCTGATGCTCACTGATGACGGTTGTATCGTAGTGGTTGACGTGGCGGTGGCGGGTAGTGGATGGTAGGAGCGCCACCGGCCGCTTTCGTTTCCCGCTCTGTTACTGACCGTAGTTGTAGTTGTCGTCATCGCTAACAAGACGCAGCGAACACCGCTGAGCCGCCGAACTGCTACCTGCAACAGCAGCTGCTACACTCCTACTACTGCCACAAAGGGGCAGGGGATCCGCGTGATAACTGGCCGCTGCCAGGACCGTCGTCAGACAAAACGACGAGTTGAACAATCACAAAGGAAGCGTCGCACGGGCAGCCGCTATAGGAGTGGCGGTGGCGGTGAAGGGCGACGCTAACGCCGACGCTACTGGCTGCGCGGGTTAGCTATGCTTCACAAGCTGCACAAACAATTGACCAGGCAAGTCCGTATATAGAACACGCATCCCCACCGATAGGTACACAGCCAGGTCGCGTGATTCTGTCAGGACAAAAACACATCAGAAGAAGAAAACAGCTGCGGCGAGTGATCACTTTCGCAACAACTACTGTTACGATGTTGTTTTTCCCTGGTTGCTTAGAACGCCGTTCGTAGGCGACGCCGTGGTTGTCTTCTCTGCGGCCTGTCAGGAAGCCGGCACGAGAGCGATACTTCGAGAGAAAACAGGAGCAGTTGCCAGTGCCGCTAGCTGCACTGTGGCCTTCAAAGATGGTAGACGCTACAGTTGCGGGCTTCCTGGTAAAAGGCAGGGCGATCCACGCAGCGATGGCACCACCGTCGGCATCAGCTTCAAGTGGTATAGCGCCAAAACGCAAGAACACACCGAGCCGTCGCACTACCTCTACAACACCTTGCTCTCGTCCGACGTACAGGCCACGATGACGAGCACCAGTCGCAATCGGTCGATATCTGCGGAGCGAGTGAATCGTCACATTTGCTTCACCCCCTTGATAATTTCATAGGAAAAAGTCGGTCGCACATTGCGGCCGATGCCGCTTCAACGATGGTGAAACGATGGTTGGCGATAATACGCAATCGGTACCGTTCTGGAAGGGCATCATCTCTTTCATACGTTCGCGTGGTCCGATATGTACGCACTACACCGTATAGGAGCGGCAGTAGTCCTACACAGAGCGTCGTAGCTCACCTAGTTTTATGGAAAGCACAGCGCCGCCAATGTAACTAGGAAACATCCCATGCGTCATGGTTACCATCTTCTAATTGTTATAGGAATATTTCAGCAATACTAATGATTGCTCTTTCTTGCCCTGCGTCCGGTCTATCTCAGATCCTATATTTTCGCGGCCAGACAAGTGCCGCAAGTGGTGGATGTCTCTGTTATAGGAAAGATGCGCAGTAGAGAACGCAGCGCTTGTTAGCCCAATTAACCCAAAGCACCGCTATTCAAACAATACTTAATATTCTATACAAATGTTCAAAGGCATATTGCAGCGTTTTGTGTATAAAAGTATAACCTGTGTTCGAGTTCTAGAATTCGTGTGTATTTTTTTGTATATTGTCTGTGATTCTGAATATTAAACAAAGAATCATTTGACGGTAGCCCGCGAGACACCTGAAGTAGTGGTTGGATCTTTGATCGTCTACTATCTACTTATCGTCGTTGCTGCTAGCGGTATCGAAACGGAGTTCTGACACAAACATATATATATGTATATATATATATATATATATACGATAAGACAAATGCATTGCTAAATAGGGCTGATGGTTGATTGTCTGCCACAGCTGTTGCCCTCGCTTTTAAACGCATTGTCTCTCTGCTGTCACTAGTGCTGTTCGAACGATCGTTGTCCCATCTCCCCTTCACCCTTTACCTCTACCCCGTTCCCCACTTTCGGAGCTCTCGGCCACCCTTACGACTCAGTTCCTTTCTTTGGTTAAGTCGACTCCCGCTTTGCTGGTTCATTCGGTTCTCTCCTGACTCACTCGGCCGGAGCATTCACCCCAGCGGGAGCGATGGTGGCGGATCCTCGCTACCGCCGCAGCGGCCACCCCGTTGGCGCCATTTTGAGCAGTCCCTTACAAGAGCTAAGCGGATTTTGGCTCGGGTGCGAGACTATGGTTCGCTGGTCGATCACCATCTTGAGAATCCGTCACCCCATAACCTGTAAAGCATCACGTCGTCCGAGGCTGACAAAATAGGTTTGTCGCGCGCTGTACATATGGCAACGATATACTATATAGTATTCTGACGCACTCGCACCAACGACCATTGTCAATGCTGCGTGTACAGCTTCTCCCGTGAAACAATTGACAATAATACGTTTTGCGGCCTTCACACTCTCTCGTTAGCTTTGGCTAAGTCCGGCGCTGGTGTCGCTGTTCCTATCGTCGTGAGCGCGCTAGAAAAACCAACGATCATGCGGCCTGCATGTTGGCTGGCCAAGTAACTCATTTCTGTGGCGGCGAAACGATGCAATAAGAATCTGCAAAAGCTCACTACATACCGTACAGATTGACAAGCACAGCGAGACTGGCACAGCAAAGTGGCATTACTCGTCGTACTATACGAACTTTAGGAGTAGGGGTGTCTGCACGGCGTAGGGCGAGCGACGGACGGACGGACGCATGGACGAACGAACGGAGCATTTCTGTGGCAGCAAGACCATGATCAGCTCATGTTGCTGCTGCTTCTGTCGTTTGTTGCGTCGCGAGTTCAGCTGCCGCTACCACTGCTGCTGCTGACAACGATCACTGTTCGCTCGCGCTTGGCCCGACTTGCTACCATTTCTATGGGAAGCCACCACTACGGAGCGCGCTAGGGCGGGCAACGAACAAAGTAGTAGCATCATTTAATACGCAGCGTTGCTACCGGATAGAATATGAACAGCGAACGGTTACATTGTTTTATTCGGCAGGTGCTAGCTTGTTATTGTTGCCATCGTCGTCGTCGTCGCCATCTAATATCAATTCCTGAAAGCGATCGGTCACAAGAACAGCACGAGCAATACGGGCATTCCTATCCGCCTGTCCTGGTGAATGCGCTGTATGGCGTTTCTATCTAGTTGCTGCTATGTAGAAAATTGGCAGCGCGCGATGACCGCACTACCGCACCGACTCTCGGCTGTTGGCGCGCGCTTCGCTTCTTTACTGATACACTCACACATCCAACTCACCGGAGACGGACAAACCAACCTAGCGCCCTGCCATAAGACGCGTGCGTTAAGACGACCCGCTCCGACGCAAGATAAATCAACTCATCGAAAAGTACGCTACCATCCCACTTTACGAACCCGTTGGCGGAATGCGCAGGCGCCATTTGGTGTGCTCGATAGCACAACGCGACCGCTAGAATGGCGGGACGAAATCGCGCCACGCAGGTTTTGCCGGCCGCCCACAGGTTGTTGACATGCCGGTCAGCATTCGATTTTTATGAAATACTTGAAATTTTGAAAAGTTTTTGCGCGCGTCTGATCCAGAAAAAATCCATAATTCAATTCACAGCAAGAATTATGGCCGAAATCGAATTTCAGATAAAATGCGATCCTACATGAAACCCGTAGAAAACCAAAAAAATCTCACATGATTTTAATGTCAACATGATCTCTGAGCATCGGAGAGATAAGTTCAGTAGTAAAATCGAATAAACTCACCAAATTTCAGTCAAAAACAGCATAAATCGAGGCATTTTCGGTGACAGTGGCGCCCCCACCGCCAGGTCGAGGGAGAGGGCTGACTGAGGCGCGGGTAGCTCTCACGGCGTTAGCTTTCACTCGAGCACCGGCCGCCGATCGGACAGGATCTTCTCGTGTCTTTACGCAGCTGCAGCGCACAAGCAACAACAACAACTTACAGTCGTCATCATGCCGGCCACCCGTTCTCGTCAGAGGTATGTGTGTTTCTTTGTTTGTGACGATTTCCCCGCACCTTGCCAATGTCGTGTACGCCGTTGTCGCCGTGATTCTAGGTGATTTTTAAGCTGCGCCGCGAAATGCCGGTACACCAGTTCTGGCAATATAGGTTCGAATCGACAACCGACTAACGACCGACCTGAGTGCCTGTGACAACGAGCTTTGGCTGTAACAGCTAACTTGCTGTTGTCCAGCTCGTGGCTCTCCTTGTGTGGTGTCCTAAAAACGCTGTGAGTTCAGGAGGCAACATTCCCCTGCCTGTGTCACGTTTTTAACACGCCCGTTTAGTGGCGCTAGCCAGCCATCGCAATTGCGCTGCTACACCGCGTCGCTACCGGTTGATCGACAGACAACAACGAACGGCCGCTTGTTTTTCTAGCCAATTCCTTGTACGTACAATATAGTAATAAATGTTCTGGTAAGTTTTTGTTTGTGTTGACCGACGACGATAACAGGAGATCTGTATTCTCTGGCCCGCTTCCGTTCCCTTCCCTTTTTCCACTACCACCACCACAACCACCACCATCATCACCACCACCCCCTTTTGAGCAGGCTTACTGCGTAGCCTATGGCTAGAGCTGGTTGTTTAGCGAGTTATTGCATGATGCTAACGTTAGGGCTACGAGAGACGTACGGGTGAATTCTAGCTGGTTCGGCGAGTGGCCTAGCCAACTAGAGTGGACTACCGACTCGACTAACCAGTTCCCTCTTTGTTTGGGGGGGGGGGGGGGGCACGTTGGAGAAAGATTGGCGCCAAGCGGACGTGGGGGAGGGGGCGTGAGTTTCCCTACAGCAGCGACAGCAGCAGCAGAATCCATCGTTCGTTTATTCGTTCGCTTGTCTGTCTGTCTGTCTGTCTGCCTGTCTGCCTGCCTGCCTGCCTGCCTGCCTGCCTGGGTGCTCCATGGCGGCGCGGCGCGGCGTAGCGCCAATAGCATCAGCGGCAACTGCTGCTAGCCGTTCTGATGTTAAATTCTGCTCAGGAAGAAATTGGATGCTTGTTGTTCCATTTGTAGTCGCCAGTATCGGTAAACCAGTGGCTCTGGAGGTATGAGCAACGTGTATATCTATGCGCGTATGGTAAAAAGCCTTAAAAACAGTACGAATCGTAATGAAAGGGGGTCATTTTTGTGGGGGTAGGGGGGCGGATATCAATCAGGCTTATGTGCCATAAGTCTTTCATGCGTAGGAAGTGGCACTGCGTGGTATTGCATTCGTTCGTTTTTCCGTTGAAAATGACATAAGACATTCATCAGTATACAGTGACAGACGTGAATAATTATCGTATCTTTGTGTAAATGCTTGCGCACTTGATGTGTATTGCTCGTCCTGTCCGTACTGGCAGTTAATTCCAAAATGATTTGAATTCCACAGCAGCTTCGTTTTGCCGTAATACACTATTTTTGTGCGACTTAACTTTAATAAAGTTGTCGGTTAGACTTATGGTTCACTCCCTCGTTGTTAGGATAATCATTTACATACAATAATTAGTACTGAGAATAGCTTGATAGCGTAGGTATGTTTTTAACAAATTTTCCCGCCATATTTTGCTTTGTACCCACATGCCGACCCCGAAGCCTGTCCCGGTGCCCCTGCGATGCTACCACAACTTCGTCCTCTCTACGCCTTTATTCATCCCGTCCCCCCAACCTTCCACTATTTGCTCCTTACCTCCCCCTGTATGCTTTTCTCGATAGTGTTTTTTAGTACCTATAATTACTGAAGTTAATGCAGCGTCACGCGGGCAAGTCCCCGTGACGTATTAATGTCACTTTTAATTCAAGCTTTTTATATGTCACTTTTAACTTATTTATTCGAGAGGGAGTCTGATTAGTGATTATTACATAGATTCCAGTAAATTCGCGATAAGTCATTAATCGTTGAACTGATCAGTTAAGTGCACTACTGAGTGTTATGAGGAGACTTCATTTACACACCGGTTCGTTCACATTTTTGCCCCTGAATTCTTCGTTGTTCCCCATTTGGTGGGGCAACGCGAGTCAGACTGAGCTTTTATCATGTTTTTTGTATTCGCGAGTGATGGCGAGGACCAGTTCAGTCGTCGTCGTCGTCGTCGTCTTGGCATTGGCCAAAAGAATCCATAGAACACGGCGACGGTGTGATTGGTGATGCGCCTCCGCTTACCGCCTGCGACTGCGGCCTCGGTTGCCCGCCCGGTGGTCGCCACCGGGCGGTGGTACCAGGTGGGCGAACGATCTGCCGCCGGCGTCGCTGCTTCAACTAGCAGTAGTAATGGTTATTGTTGGTATAGCATGGTATGGCATAACGCTATCACTTGCAGCTTTTATTGCCTGCTGCGGTTGAGGCTGCTGGCCAGCGACCGGCGCCGCTGGCGCCATCGCGAACCGCCGTGGTTAAGCCGCTGCAATACCAGCGACAGCTTCGCCAACGGTGGCAGCTATAGCCGCTTGGTTAGCTTTGGCTGCTGATGCAGCAGCAGCAGCAGCGCACAGCGTGCCTGCTGCTCTGTCTGTGCCTCCCTCTTCGCTTGGCGCGCTCCGTTCGCTCGTAATCCAAGATGGCCGTCGTCTGTTATGGTTCTACGCGGCGAGCTGAAGGCGTCCGGAGCGGCGTGAGCCAATCGAAGAGCTATAGCAGCAGTAGAACGGCGGTAACGATAGGCGCTACTGGTGGTAGTGGTGGCGACGACAGTGGTCGTTGCGCCGCGTGCTATACAGCAAAGGTATATGATGATATGGCCACGACGCCTATGATGATGATAATGCCGTTGCTTCTCTTGCCCCTCCCGCCAGTGCTGCTTCCTCGTTGCCAATGCTGGTGTTGTTGTGATGGTGATGTGCGTGGAGCAACAGCTACTGGTAGCTGGCCGGTGGCAAGCGACGCAATTTCATTGCCGCGACGTTACCTGGCTCATTAATGTTTGGCTGCCTTGTCCATGTTGCGTTGTCGCAGTCGTTTTTCGGTGTCTGGGTCTGTCGACCGTTCGGCAGTAGGGCGGACCTTCCGCGGCTACCTGTGCCGTTCACAGCCAACAGAAATGGTACTAGAATCGGCTAGACGAGGTCAATATCCGTCGTCTATGCTTCTATCCGGCATTCTGCTCCGCTATGCACCTCGCCAGCGGATGGGCAGCCAACAACTACAGCTGTATCCATGACTCTGCGAAACCTCAAAAACGAGCCTGTTTTCTTTCCTTTATTGCTGGGTCAGTTGTCGTTTCGCTCATATTTCGACATCATCGCAGCATCATCAAAAAGCTAGCAGAAGAGGAAGAGTAGACTTTTGTTTCACAGCAATTCAGTGACTGCCGCCATCGATCGGAGTCTTTCTCAATACCCGCAACAGTAGTAGAAGTAGCACTGGTCGCGCTGCTGCTTCGCTTTTGTCGTCGGTTCGTGGAGAAAAGCTCGAGCATATCAGAGGCAGCGGCGACGACAGTACCAACAACTGAAGGACGCAGAGCTGAAGATAGTGAGAGGTCACGGCGACTGCATTTATTTTGCAGTGAACGTAGTTTTGCTTGCGAACGTTCTCCTAACCCTGCCGCCACTACGGTACCACTAGGCAACGGAAGTTGCGGCTGCGACGCGACTGAACCTTTTCTTGCTGATACGCAATGATAGTTTTGCGGTTTTCATATCAGCGCGGACATAGGGGCGCGGACGAGAGGACGGTCATTTAGGCGGTTTTCTTCTACAACCGTTTGTTCCGAGAGTCACTGCTGTTCTTGCTATTAATCACAAGTGAGCGACCTATATAGATTTTGCCGTTTTCCTTGTTTGTCGCGTACTCATGCTGAAGAAAATGATGCGTGACGAGGTACTTCTTTAATTTAGAGTACTAAAAATATTAAAACAAACCTAATGCTTATCAACGACATACAAGCTAATTCCTTATATTTACGTTGGTTTGTTAGAAAATACTTGGCACTTAATTACTTGTTTGTGCATCAGACATTCGATTCCGGATTTAGCTAACCCGCTTCGTCCTGCTCTTTTTGCGTTCCCTCAGCACTGAGAAGCCCGTTGAAGAGGTTCCGACCGAGCCCACTAAGGTTGGAGACGAGGCCGCCGAGGAGGTGAAACCCGCTGACGTCGAAGCCAAGGACGTCGCTGAGGCAACCGAGGCCGATAAGGACAAGGAGCCCTCATCGACGGAGGAGAGCAAGGAGGCCGAGGCAGCTAAGGAGAACGGCGAAGATAAGGACACCGTTGATGACGCCGAAGACGACGACGAAGATGATGAGGCTGATGAGGCTGACGACGCCGTCGAAGGCGACAAAGAGGAAACCAACGGCGATGCTGCAGAAATTGGCGATGGTGACAAGCGCCCCGCATCTGGCGACAGCGAGGATGCCTCGCCGGCTAAAAAACTGAAGCCCGATGAAGAGGCCAGCGAGGATTCGACACCAGCCGCCGAAGCCGCCGCTGCCGCCGATGATGCCTAAACAGTACCAACATCAAGCGTTTACCTACATACACAAGACAAAAGACAACATTTGACACACACACATCTGACATACCACTATTCCTCTAATGGAACACACTGTAGGCGGTCGTCATGTATTAATGTAATAATTATCAAGTGAGCACACACAAGCGTCTCCTTCCCTCAGAAACTTTAAATCAGTAATAACCTTTCGCAGCGATATCTGCGTTGTAGAGCCAAATACCATCTGCGTTATCATGATTCACAGAGATAACGATAATACCAATGACGTCCTGTAGAAAAAATAACGGTTAGGAACTTCATCACACAGACACAAACTTTGCCGAAGTCGTCTTTATTAGTAAGACAAACACACAGACTAATAGAAGGAATACACAGAAGTTAATTTCTAAAAAAAAAAAAGCTCCCTCGGATCCTAGTCTCATCTTTGCCTTCTTTATATACATATATAATACGTTAACACATTACGCCCGCTCCTACAGTGTATATTTATATATATACATGTAAAAGATTGCCGATTGTGAAATAATAATAATACTAACGCGCATGTCTAGGAGCCCGAAGAAGTTACGAAGAACAGGTGACGAGGGGGAGAGTTTGAACGATTAACTAAAATTAATTAAAGCGAGCAACAAACACGAGTGTTAAAATGATGAGTGCTGTAGGATGAAGGATGGACTAAGAGGTGGAGGAGACGGTGATGAAGATATTATGATATTAATGAGCTAGTAGTATTGTGAAGGTTAAAATAATGTAACACACTATTATTCATGATACACGTACATAATATACAGACGAACATCATACGGACATTCGGATGGTTCGGGTCGGGCTATCAAAGCCCTATTTAGAACCTGACGACAGTCAACATTTACACGACGGACGAAGAACGCAGGAACGCGCTTCAGACGACGATGGTAATAATAATGATTATGATTATGATATTGCAAAAGGAAAAGGAATAGAAAAGGAAATCAAGAACGCGACAATGATGACGACGACGATGACGACGACAACGACGACGACGAGGAGAAATGTGTAAGGCGGTAATTTATTCTTTTTCGCTCGGCGTGTGCCGCCCGCGTGTCCGACGCCGACGTGCACGGGGCACTGTTCATTGTGCTGACTAAAGCAGGTTCCGCTAGGTGGCGTGGAGGGCGGCCCCCTTTGTACATTCGTTTGTTCTCTCACTACTACAATACACCACCATAAAGAATACCGCAACCACCACTGCTAAGGACCATAATTACTAACAGGAACAACGACGACGACGACGACGACCACATCAACAATAACGACCGTCAACAAGAACAACGAACATCATAAACCAGGCAACAAAAATAACAACCGTAATATGATCTACTATTGAAGAGCTACTGTACTACAACTATCAGTTATCGCTTCACTAAAACACTTTCGAAAAATGAACACCAGCTATATATTATATGGAGAACAACGAAATCTACAACTCTAAAAACACAAATATCGGCATTGGCAATAAAAGGCGGCGAGAAAATGTGTCCGACAACAGCAACGAGTACACAGTTCATGTCGTCTATTAAAACCTTCTTCAGCCAGACAGTTTTTCTAAAATCGGCGGGAATATATCAACGATGGCTTCAGCTGCCGAAATCGACAAAGACCGGCAACGATTGCGTCGATACTATTATAATTATTATTGCTATTATAATTACCATAATGACTGAACCATATTTGCTATATGATTGACTACAAAGACCAGTCAGTCTCAATGAGAAAAATCGCAATGTTGAGCATCTCGTTTCGGCCCCGTCACTCGCAATGCCTAATTACTCTGGGCGAGCTCTGAAAAGAGTGAACTACGAGACCACCTTGAATGAAGTACAACTATCGCCTGTCGATTTTATAGGAGCATGGCTTCTCATCGTTGTGGCATCGATGCTGGAAGGCGGCGGTGTGACGCATGCGCTCTGCCATCGCTTAAGAGATTCAGGCGAGCGGAAGTTTAATCACTGATTACATTGGCGAGGCCGAGCGAAACGACAGAACAGGAATAACGAAGTAGTTGTTAGCTGGTGTTTGTCGAGAAAAACGACCCATGTAAATGACTGAGGACGAAATGACTGAAGATATTTTACGAAGCCGTGTGCGTCTTGGGCTAACACGTTATATTCTCTAGCGGAGGTTAGTATCGACCTACGGTTGCCAGGTTTATGCACTTCACTACCATTTCTGTATGCGCACCTTATTGTGGAATATTGTCGTCGTTGACGCGCCGCTTCACGGGAAGTTTTTCCCGTGGAAAAGCACATCTTGCTCCGGTACACTTCACGGGGCTCATGTCCTGTGCGTGTGGTTAGGATTCGATTCGGTGGAACGACGACGCTCGACTCTCAACATAAACCGCGAGAGAGGAGATTGTCCATTGACCAATCAAGTAGGGTGGCTGCTGGTAGACATCATCATGTATAAAATACAGATAAAGAAGAGAAAGCCCTATCCTCCCACCCCGCGCGAGCTTCGGGGTGGCCGGCGGGTCAGTACACAACTGTATAAATAAATAAAAAAAAACAATACGTCTTTTCTATTATGTAGTTTGGAGTTATGCCTACATACGATAGGTGGGTTCGAGAAGGATGATGTATTTATTGTATGTCGGAAGACCACATGGTGACTGAAGCTGCGTGGTTTTACATACGCGAGAACACATTCGAGTCTAAAGCTTTACGGTTGAGAATAGAAGGTGAGGTAATTATAACGTCAGTCATGAATAATACATGTCCATTATCACGTTAGTAAAAACGCAAATTTAGAAGATGCAGTAAAAACTGATTAGAAATGTCCCGTTAAGAAGTATAGGTTGTTTCGAGTACCCAAGGATTCAAGGACAATGGAGAAGTAGAATGTTATGCCCTAGACGGATATAGATAAAAAGGTATTATAAGTGAATGTTTTGATAGATCAATTGTTCTAGTGGCGATGTTCAAGATGGGGACACCTTCGCTGTGCCATGTGATTGGCCTAAATAGAAGTTACTTGGTGTCCTTAGAATTATTGGTGTGCTTTATAGTAATCTTTGATCGGTTCTCCCAGCTTATATGATAATTTTCAAAATTAATTCTTTAATCATACATTATCATAGACCGAACATCAGTAGGATGTATTCCGATAATTTTGGTGATAAGGGTATAAATGTATTTTTTAAAATAAGTGGTTAAGTAAGTACTAATGTCTGATTGAAATAATGCACCATACGCATTCATGATATATAGAAGAAAAGTAACTAACGGCTTTGTACCAATCCGTGAGCTTCATGGTGATATTTAACTCATATGTACAGAACCGGATATTAAATATATATAAAGCTTTTTCTTACAATTATGCTTAGAACTGACATTTATTTCAAAAAGTGGCATTTTTTCTTTTTTTTTTTTATATCGAAGCTTTTTTCATATTTCTTAACAAAATCCAAGGTCTCTACCTGCGTATTTAAAAAAAAACGAAGTAGCATCTTGATTTTTTTAATCTATTGAGTCGGTGAATTAGTGTCCGCATTTTGCATGCAAGGGTCAATTTACGCAAATCTTAATTCATACCTGTCATGAGAACTTGGTATGCAATCTAATAAATCTTTCAGTTTTATGAAAATTAAACTTAATATGTATACAAACCTGAATTAATTTGCTCAAGGCTAAGGCAATTGGAAACAGGACTTAATTTAAAAAAAGAAGAATATACGCATGACTTAATGATTTTTGATAAAACTTCAATGAAGTAACAACGATAGTCTTCTGAGCCACTGCGATCGATCAATGTTTGATAATAATAACATATACGTATTTTTAAAGTCAACTCAAAAAGTGCCTTCATTCGAAGGTATCTGTATCCTATTGCCGGAACCTTCATCCTTCGTATAATAATAATAACCACAATATAATATATAATGTTCATATGTAAGAATCCAACGTCCAAGAATATACGGTAAGCCAAGACAGACTTTTCGAATCTTTGAACTATCGCATTGTCTTTTCGTATAAATATTTAAGATGTATATCGTTGTATGCATTTAATTATTGTTATCATCAAATTGCGGTCACTTTTAATTGACACTGATATTGAGATTTTTAGGCCGCTACAAAAATAAACCTAATGTTTCAAATTAAAAATTGTTTGTCAGGATTATTATTAATATTACTACTACTATTTATGATCTCGGCCTTTATCAACGTACTTTCAATAAGTCGATGATTTCTTTTGTGTTTGTTTGTCAGGAACTTCGGCACTATATCGATGATTTCGTCGAATGTGTAAATCTCCTAAAGATGATTGTTACAGGATTCTTGAAATCTAATTTTGATACGAAAACATTCTCGGGAAGAAAAATAATTTGATTGGTTGCTTCTTGACTCGATTATAATATATCCATATGCGATCCTTACATTATGGGCAAGCCATCCTTCAAGGTTCTGTCAAAATAAGATGTTTAAGTAGCGAATATTTACACATGGGTCTTGAACAACAGACACACAGTTATCGATATTAAATATGTGCTCACAACTACTTCAACGGACATGATCTTTTCAATTCACACTGGACAATTGACGTTTTGTGAGCGTTTCCTGTTTTCTACATTCCTAATTGAACGTTAATGAACGAGAACCTGTTGGAAACTACACAGAGAAAAATCAGATATTTACGTTTTCTTGGGTACTGGCGTGGGTAATAAGTAATACATTATTTATTACGGATTTATTATGACAGATGCGTCCTAATAGTGCAAATAATTCCATTTGATACATTTACATAGAGTATAGCATTTTTACTGTTGCGTCTTGAAGTTGCCGAACGTACTAAATAAAGTATTACTTACACAGAAGGTATTTCGAAATTTCGACGTAGCTCTATGTAAATTATGTCCGAGATACATTAATTTAATTTAATAATTAATACAGTAATACATATGGATATTTCACGTTCATCAAGCTGTTTTGCTTCAACCTTTTGTGATCTGCTAGGAATATGGCCAACGTTATTTGAGTAGGGTTATACATACGATGATGATATCAAGCTGTGGCCGCGCGCTTTTGCTTAGATGGGTTTGTTTTGATGCAGATAGTTCAGTTTAACTTCTCGCATTATTTTTGCAAGCGATCTACCGAGTCCTATTAGAAAGAGAAGTAATTGTCCTGCCATCAACCCACCCTATCGTTTCAAAGTATGTCTCACTAATATCGCAAGCATGGTTCTAAGGGTGCGCTTAGTTCAACCAAACCAGATTATGTACCAAATATTTTCGCCAGTTTGATCATACGGTAAGATTTTTAATCTCGTATTTTCATTGTATATATAGTTATCACTTCAAACGGGTTCAGACTCAGCGTCCAGTCGTGGGTGAATAATCTAGCAAACCCATTCTACACAATATTTATTATAACGATTGAAACATAAATATTGTTTAAATATTTTCTTATATGGTATGAGATATCAAAACGCTAATGCACTTGCAATAGGTGGTAATTAAAAAGGAACTATTATACAAACGATTTCTAGTAAAAAAAAAAATAAACTCGTATTACTTTTTTGCTTAACAGAAAAGACAAATTTAGTCTGGTACCATATGAATAACAATGTCTATAATATTGACTATATACGGATAGGCAAAAACAACCTTTCGAAACCCCAGCAGTTTTTAGAAACCCTTTTGATTTCTCGCTTTAAACATATTTGGACGTATGATACTCGCTTGACTGAAATATTTTTAGCTTATCCAACTTTTATCACGTACCTCTGTACGCGACTACTACTAGTACCATTAAAATAGACTGTATAATTGTAAACGAGTTTTCTTCTATGTTCTTGTCGACCAGTTTCTATTTTCACTTTGTAATTTTGTTGTACTTCGACTTACACCTCCGATGGCTAGAGACGACTGGTTAGCGAATTTTCAATTTTAGATTTTAATGACGATAATATAAAAACGTCGCCGTTATTTTATGATCACCCACAAAAAATGGTGGAAACAGTTTCACGGTGGTCTCGATATGTGCACAAACACATCGAAAGCCTCATGAGTAAGTACAGCACTCAAAAATATAATACTCATTGGAATAATCACCAGAGAAAATCGCTCTGTTTAGCGTCTTGCTAAATTTGGCATGCTGAAAAGGGACACAGCAATAGAAATAACTGCAATTTCTTTACAGTAAATCAGCGTGTCATTCTTTTCGGGGTTTGCATTTAAAGAATTTGGTATAAGCTTAACGCACGGCAAACAATAAATATTTTAAATTTTGATTGAGTTTGGTCGATTTGAATAGACAGCTATGAAATACCTAGATCACCCAAGAAACCTACGTATGACGGGCAAAAACTCTTAAATAGATAAGCACTGCAAAGGAAATCTTAACCACCACATCATTTAAAGAAATGTAGACTCATATAGACGTGTATATCGAAATTTCTCAGTCTTTCAATCCTTTCAAATTTCTCAAAAAATTTCTTTTTCAAAAAAACGGTAGCAAAGTGGGTCAGAGCTTGACATTAGGATTTTTTATGGTTTTGCGGTGGATTTCGGTCGTTCACACGACTGCCATTATTATTCGACATGGGAGAGGCTGATGAATTGACAGAACACAACAATCAATTAAATAACGCACTAATTTATAAAAAGACTTGCCCAGTTGGAAAGGATGCACGTAAATCATTCGAACACGATTAAGCTAAGGGTTTTCACGAAATCTCGTGGTCTGGACATATATACGTGTATACATAGTGATTCTGCAAAAAATTATTGTAATTTATGCTAATCGCATAGTTATATTTAAATAGCATGCGTACTAATAATACTGTATTGCATGTTTGACCCCATCGTTCGAAGAGCTATCGGCTTTTACTGAAATTATCGATGTTAACAGTGGGTTCTCTCAATCCCAGAACAAAAACAACATTTTCAAATTATCTGTTCTATATTCCCAAGCTGCGTAGAAACATCTCATAAATTAAGAATATTTGCTTGTTTCTAAAAATCGTACTCCAACAGTACAGGCATAGTGTAAAATCACGCTTAAGCAATAGAACTACTTTCTTTACAAATAAGCATCAATACATACGATTAATTGAGATCCTCAAAAAGACATCACTGTGATTTATATAGAGTAACGATTGTTTATTCTTTCATATCGCAGCACTGTCCATCTGCAAAACGCTTTCCCCTCACATAACTAATATAATGTAATGAATCTTTGCAAATTTGAAGTTATTGCCTAGCCTTTATAACTTTTCTGATATATGTTTCAGAAAAGTTATAAAGAATGTCTTATGTATATAACGCATGCTCCCAATGGCATGTCATGAGAACAATTAAGACTTTTACTAGCAGAAAATGTTAACTTTTGACTGTAACGGCTTAATGTGTTGAATTTCTTTGCTACTTGCTATTTGATGTTTTGCACTTTCGAATACAACATTCACCCTATTCACAATCGAATTCACGTTTGTACGATAGATATTTATGCTACTTTTAGCTCTTCTTGTGTTTTCTTATAGATAGTTGAACGAATAAGTCTTCGCCGTCGCATGATTCTAGCACGAAGTCGCTCAGAGAGACTCGAAGAATGCTTTTTAGCTATTGTATTTTTTCTAAGCATTTGCTTGCTTATCTCCCAGTTCTTAGCTCTGCTATCTCCATAGTAATGCGATTCCTTCATTTCCTTAACCATTTTTTTGCTTTGACATTTTTATTTGCTTCTTATACTCATACATTAATTTCGATTCTACATTGCATTTGGGTCACTTGTTCAACTAAACACGTGCTACTCTTACAGCCTTTTCTCACGTTGCATGCTCATAAGTCATTCGCTGACATTGCCCCTTGTAGTTGCTTACTTTATGCTTTCCCAGTGATTATAATTCTAGTAAACATATTTAGGCTATTGCATAAACAGGGGCAAGCACTATATTTTCTTCTAGAATTAGTGCATGGTGCATCATCTGCTCACGAAAGGAAATATGCCTTTGTGTATATAACGCTATACTATATAACTCTAGACAGGTGAGAAACGAGAATCTTGCAGGACACTTTTGGCATTTTGTTTGTTATTTGTTATATTGACACCGAGGTATCGATTTAAGTTAAATGATGATGATAGGGTTGAAGCCGTGATGTCAGCAGTATCATGCAAATCCCACAAAACAAAGCACCCACTTATTATTGCAGACACATGTCTACAAATTATAGGCTGTATAGTAAAAGTCATTGCGCTAACTTCTCTGTCATTAATAAACGACATTCTAACTTTTTTTTAAGTCAGATAGAACACATAATTACGATATCTGTAAAATATGAATTATCTTGACGTATTTTGAGTCATATCATGTAGATTAAATTGGAGAAAACGTAGCACATAATTAAGCGGTATTTATGATTTAGTTTTTATTTATTTTTTCTTTATAAATATGAGAAAAACTCGAAACAAAATACCGTTTCAGAACAAAGTACGGTTGCATGAACTGTTTCTTGGTTTATTTGAAACTAATATTATTAATTACTATTTATTAGGCAACGAACAAAACGTAACGAATTCGGGGGAAGGACATTGGAAAATATGTATATATTAAGGCGCTCACCACTCATCCATGTGACAAGACAAGTTAGTGTTAGTAGGATTCGAAATGGTTATGAAACGTCGGCTTCGTTATGTATCAAATTCTACTCAATGTCCTCTTTTTTTTCTTTCTAGTAATAGTAACAATGCAAAAAACTACATCAGCTTCTAAAATCGTTCCTTTACGTATATATATATAATCGCTGAAGTGTTTACGCTCATTCGTTTTTGTCCTTTCGCTCTTTCTCGCTTTTTTATGTAGGTTCTTATTATCTTTATTATATCTACTTTTGTAATGCTTAGGTCCGTAGTAATAATAGTAGCAGCAATAATATATATATATATATATATATATATATACTGGAGATAATTAGAGAAAACACATGAACGTATATTTGTGTGTGTCTCCTCTGTGGCCTCAGTTTTTTGAGCCTGTGCTCGAAAATCGGACAAATGCAAAATATGAACAACTTCTATTTGCTACGATGTTAGTCTCATGTTTCCCACTTCTTTCCTACAAAGCTTCGTCTGACGAAGCTCAACAGGGTTTTTTTTAAGTTTCGCATGTTAACGTAGGCTTTCGCGCAGTAGGTCAATCCTACACCGTCGCGTTTAAGGGAAAGCTAAGAGAAACTTCTCCTAACATTTTAAAACGACTGCTGGGTACAAACTTTTCATTGCACTTGTTCATTTTGTATCCCGTTCCCTCGACGCGTTCATATAAATATGTGAATCCGTCTATTGTATGCTTATGAATATCTGCGCGCGCATGTGTGTTTGCATTTAAACACTGATTACATAAAACTACTACAGTCATGGTACAACTGGTTAAAATATTCATCCACCAACATTTTTGCATACCAAGCTCCACGACTGTCACGTTTAGATAATTATTCTCATGATGTTATCCGAACAATTGCAAAACTCAAATACTGGTCGATAACACGCATATCATAAACACAGCCGTGGTTTTAAGGATCCTGCCATTTTGTTTTTTCGTAGTGATTGCTTCATTTCTCAAATAAAACTGACTAAAAAAATAATAAAGAAGACTAAAAAAAAAGTGAAAAAGAAAAAATCTATTTTTTCCGCTGATTGTACTAATATTAATTAGATGCGATAATCATTTCACAAGACAATTGACAACCATCACGTTTGACGCTGTCTGACGGACTATCATCACCAAACGACGTTGCGTAATTTTGCGCATTCGTTTTCGTCATTTACAATACCTGCCTAAAATTATTTGCCTCGTTTAGTGTCATCGCATCTCTACGGAGAACTATATTTCGGCCGTGGTATTTGTTGCCATTAATGCGCAATGGATAAGTCTAACAAAGTCGTACGTCGAAGTGTGCTATTCAGTCGTCTATAAGAGTCCATATGTAACCATGCGGGTAATAAAAACTCAGGTGGATGTCGTTTCCAACAGGATTATACAGTACAATAAATGTTGCCAATTTATCATACATTCGACAGGAGCTCATCTTTCTTGGGGTGCCTCCGCAATGCCACGCAGACGATAAGGGACTAGAAAGAGTAAATCAACATTAATTTCGCAATTGATTATTCAAATAAGCAACGACGTTGATATGATTGCAGTTAAAATTTGGTTCGCTTGGTAATAGTAAGCTAGCTTATATTCGCTCCTGTCGATACTGTTGCAGTGTTGTTAGAAGAAAAAACGCTAAAACCCGAAAGTTTATTTTCTGTGGCTCGATGATTCCTTCTTGTCGTCGTCGTCTTCGAACTCAGGCTTAGTACGCCGCTTCTCATAGATGAAGATAATCGTGCACAGGATTGCCACCTCGGCGCAAATTCCTACACATGCAGACGTCGCGAAAAATTAAGCACAAATAAGTTAATACAAAAATACCGACGGGATGACGTGTTAGATTGAACAGAATAGATCATACATTTAACGGTAATTACATCTCCTAAAAGTCCACACTTCATAATCGATAATTCTAAGCTAATATATTATATGGCCTGTGTGGTTCTGATAGAACGTGTTCAATAATACAAATTTTAGTAGTTACATTATTCATGACACAGGTAAATTATTATTTGATTAGGAGGAAACTATTTAAGACGCCAACTTCTTTGTTACCAGCCTAATTATTTTTGCCCTTGTAGGATACATGTACAGATGTAACTGATGTGCATACCAAGGAATGGCCAAAGGGCTGCATATTTGTCCTTCACCCTGACATTGATCTCCACTTCAGTTGTGACATTCAGCGATGTAGCCTGGCATACGTACCTGGCAAGAAACGACAGTCATTAATAAAAAAAATTAAATGTATTTTATTCATTCCATTAGTGATCATATGCGCGGATTTATTAAGCCTAATTATTTTGGATTAAAAGCTGTTTGGAAAAAGTGACAGCTGTTTGTCTCCAAACAGGTTCACAAAAAATACGCGTACTTTCCCTTGTCCGAATATTGAAGATTTCGAATGATGAGTTTGGCATCTTTTACACTGTCGATATCTTGCTTCTCCATTCGCTCATCCATTATAAGAGGCTCCCCGTCTACAGAAACAATTAGTAAACAGAAAGTATTAGCGGTACTTTTTAAGAATCGTCAATTTACTCAGATGTGCTTTTTACGTTGATTATAAATATCTATCAATAAATGTATAATAAAATTGAACCGGAGTCTATTGCAAGTTTAAAGAAGAAGTGCTGCTGACTATCCTAGTAGCTGCGTCTTTGTCCGAAAATGTCATGCCTCTTGACAAACTACAAAACCTAGCATGCCGTTTCGTTTCTGTGAGGTGAAATCATTGTTATTTTACCTTTAAGCCATTTAATTGTTGGAGTCGGGGAACCACGGGCCTTGCAAGTCAGCGTCAGGGGATCACCTTGGACCTGATTTTTTGAGCGTTCCACATGTTCCAACGTGGGATACATAAGCACCTGCAAAATATAAAATAAACAACTCAGTGAGTGAATTGAGGAGAACTGGTTTGTATTAATTACTAATATTTAAAATATTTTTTTCTACAAAGTAACATTTACGTTAGTGATTAAAAGGTTCGAAGTGTTACTTTCGTTCTAACTCGTATTACCTATTTATGCAGCCATAAAAGGCCATTCTTGCCAATATCTGCTGCTGATAAAGAAATCTTGTACACATAGTGCGTAAAGTAAGCTGTTGTTTGCCGTTTTCGTATGACTCAACCTCAGCTACTCCCAAAATTTTCATGCCGTACAAAGATCCTACATATAATACGAGGATCGGTATTTATGTTTCATGACATGTTTATACATGTGAAACTTCTTGTGACCCATTTACCCGAAGCGTGGCTTCCTCTCCTCGTAGTTTACACTTGTAGTTTCCTGCATCATCAACATTACAATCTTCAACGGTCAACACCGAGGCCGTACCGGTAGTCTGCAAATAACACACATATGAATGCACTTTTTTTTTGATTTAGCATTTACAGAGGCAGCATAAAACAGATTAAAGCTTTCCAAATGTTCTCAGTATAAGAAAACTGACGGGTGCCTATAGTAGTGAATAGGAAGTATGCCGTTATGTAAACTTATACTGCGCACGAACTTTTTAGTATCAATTAAAAAAATGTTCGGTCGATTTTTGAGGTTGACTGCGCAGTAGAGCTTGTATTGAGGCTATTAAGTAATCGCAGCATACTTTAACTAGGTACTGCAATGAGGATATTAGTCTGTCACGACGCCTGTAGCTTTAACATTAAGGGGTTAAGTTTTTGGATCTTTTGCCAGAGTGACGCCTCAGAGTGGCTGTTGAAAGTGATATGCGCTTACGTGAAAAGTCTCTTGCTTGTGAAGTTAAGAATCCACTGAAATTCTTAAATGACTATAGAAATAAACCATTGAATTAAAATATTTTCGAATGCTTTTGCAATTCAACACTGTTCAGGTTAAATAATTAATTTGTAGTACGAAACCCACTAGAGGAAAGTTTGTCGGAAACTCGAACCATGGACTTTATGAGACGTGTATATGCATATACGATATAAACGATTCTTCTTGATAAACAATCTAACAGGTTGTTTGTAAATAAATATTTGTGAAATGATTATGCGTTCCGTTGCATGCATATTCTACAATGGCACCCAATTAACTTGCTTCGATGCAAAAATACAATAAAACTTTATTCATCTTCACTAGTAGTAGTCAAAGATCTTTTTGAGAACTAATATAAATACAATCAACAATACAATATCCCAATATCAGAAAGAGTATATAGAGCCACTTAAAACCATTTGCACTCGTTGTTCCTCGTAGCATCAGAAGCAAAAAAAACTCCATCAATCTCTGTGAATCTTCGCTCCTTGTTTCTAAGGCTTGTTTTAAAGTCTTTCATGGCTGGGAGTTTAAAGCGACGGCGTAGGTTTTCGAGCAACTGTAGCGGATCGGTTAAGACATACACAAGGTTCTAACGCGACCTAATTTTTCGAAATACTCCACTGTGAAGTTCTCTTAAATGATGCGTATCTAATACATTGCGATCGGAGCTATTGTGAGGTGGAACATGATGAAAACCGCTGCAAGGGACAAGCGCTGAGGCGACTTGATTCACCAATACAGCCAGTACTGCCTTCTTGCATTTTTGGTGATGTGCGGAACGAAGTTTGCATTGCTCGAGCAACCCAAATTACGGAAACCGATTCACATAAGTAAGAAAAAACCTGTCAAAATACAAGGTGCTTGTAGCCGCTTTTTTGCTTTCCTTTCTAAACTTCATCGGTTCTCACTAGGTCAGGATTAGAATATGCCTCAAGTCTGTCACTGCCGTGTGGAGCCAAGCTACACCTGCTGGACCCGTATATCACTTAATTGTTTGCATACAAGATGACTTCGACTAATTTCCTCGGCTCTCTTATTATATCAGGGACGCCCTTAAGAAATATGGAGAATAATACTAGGCTGAGGCTGTTTCCCTAAGTCAGATCGATTTTCTCTGGGAAGGACAGGAGTTCGGTTTCTCTGTTGTCAATAATTATTATGTTTTCCTGTAGAATAGAAGCTAGAGGGCTGCACACATTCATAAGCACATACACTTTGGCCACCGTGAACATAACGCTTGTCACTAAGCAACAAATCGAAGGGCGGTTTGAAATCGACAAACACCGCCTGTAACGGATTATGCAGGCATAGCCAAAGCTCTCCTGACGTCAGCCATTGAAATTTTGCAGGCCGTTTCGGTGAAGTGTTCGTTTCGAAACCCACGTTGGTTTGCTAAGATACTGTGTGCGATTTCTATGTAACTTTTCGGTCTTAGTCAACAACATTATAACAGCATATCCTTTGCCATTATGGCGGCGCGGTTGGAACGTTCTTTCCTTTAAAAAGCACGAACAGGATAGCAGTTCTATACTGGGCTGGAAGTATGTAGACATTAAATAGTCTAGCATGGCCCCAGAATGACGGTACATATGACCCTACCTGAGCCTTCAGTTTCCTTACTGCACGGGCTCCCGAGTTGCGAGAAGAAGTTGCGAGAGTTACCACATTATGAAAACTTCTTGAAGAATATCGCATTGTACTGATATACCTCTTCCCATGCTGCCGCGATAAAAGCACCACGAATGGTATCGAATCCCTTGACTCAAACATTTCCTAAAAGTGATTCATGTAGGACAAGAAATTCATCGGGCAAGCCGCCGAACTGCCATGGTGCGTTGGCCATTTGTATGGTTGACGTTCCGTATCGGCGATCAAACGAGTCTCTAGCTGTTCAGGGTAATATTGCCTTAATCATTATGCCCTTACTAAAATGTGATGCATACGTTCTCCGACAGATCCTTTTCGTTTGAAAGAAACGGAACCCAAAAAGACTGATCTCGGGCTGTACCTTACCATAAGCTAAACAACGGCCTATGCTTCCGGGGGAGTGACGGAAAGGCTGTACTGTAGACTGGAGAATTTCAACCACATGCTAAGGGATATTCAGTCTTCTAAGGGATATCTCCACCAACATGAAATTAACTCGAAATCAGCCAGCTAAATATAGGGTGCTTCAAGACAGTCACTGGCCACACAAGGCAATGGCGTTGTTCCCCACTAGGCATTACGTGAGGTCGTCTATCTTATAATTATGGAAAACGGAGGCGTCTTTACTAGGCCCCGTGAAGCTGTCTGGTCCGTTGTTCTTCATTGCAGGGCAGCGCACCGAATAGAAACGCGGTAGGTTGAAAGGGCTAGTTGCCCAAGTCTAGCGTGAAGATAACTATACTGTCCAAAACATCCGGAAAGAGGAGTACCAGAGTTGCAACCCCTCACAATCCCATTGTGTAATTCTTAGCGTTCCCTCAAGGTCCGGCCTCGCTGCAAGCTCCATAATCGACCTTGTGGGCGGCTGCGGTGAATCAGTGCGTCGCATGCAGAAACCAGTTCTTTAGTCGTCAATATTGCGAGAAATTGCTCCACGCCTTTACCATTGGGCCGAGCGGGATGGGTTGTAGTCCAGCTATTCGGCTTGGTGCTGCCTTTCCCAAGGGGGGGGGGTCCTTTAACGGGGCTCTTCAAGCCCTTTCGGCTTGTTGCCATCGATGGTCTTTGGACGAGCATTTTATGGCTCCCGCCCCTCATTTTTTTTATGTCTAACTAAGGCCTCATCCTCCTGACAATGTTGTGAGCAATTTTCTCCCTTGGTACTGTTCACTTTCGACGATCGGGCGCGTTGTTTTGAAAAGGGAGGAAACCAAAATTTCGCATTTTCTTGATTCGCTTTTTTCGAATTATTATTTGCTGCTTTGCATTTTCTGGCCGAGACGAACAGCGAAGACCCCATTAAGCTTTTAACCCGGGACGCAAGGTAATTAACGTCTCTGAAAAACTCTCCACTTTGTTGATACATTTTCGTTTTCAAATTCTATGTATTTATGGTAACTAACTCGTTAATACACAGCAACTGACCCATCGATGCTGTTAATATATTAATATATTTCTCTACTTCACTCACGACACTGTCGTTGTCCATTTTCGGCGCCTCACGAATAGTTATTGACGTTTTTTTTTTAGCAACAATGTCTCTCAACGCGGGGCCGAGGGCTGCAAGGTACTGTTGCCCATTACTAGTGCTGTTTCTTTGTGACGAGAGAGGAATAGAGCTGTCCGAAAATCTCATAGAGACATTGCTCATTTCACAGTCAGCATATACATATACAATATACAGCAAATACTTGTGACAGGGTTACGGGCTTTGTCGTATGTATATGCTTCAATGCTACATCGTTGATCTACCTCGATGTGAAATTTGGTCCCCTCTTGGATTGGCTGGTCATCCTTGAACCAAGCGTACGTAGCCTGAAAGTGTGATATGTTCAGAACAACAAGAATGACAATATGAGAAATTTACTGGTGTTTCACCTTCAATAGTCTTTCATTAGAAGGCACGGGTCATACAAATAATTAAAAGACAACAATTTAAAATTATTAATTAAAATATATGAAATGCAAGCATACAGCACACACGTATGTTGGATAATCGAACGTTTCCTTACATCTCCGTGGTCCTCGGTGCCAGTATAGTTACATTTAAGAATAAGCTTCTGAAGCTTCGGATTAACGAGTACCGCTAAGCCGAATTTGGTCTGCTCCTCGTTTGTCAGTATCTCCGATTCTGAAGGCATAAAATGAATAGGTTATCTGGTGATGCATACATTAACCATTTCGTCACAAAAAAGACATATAGCCTGTCATAATCAAGGGTAGAAACAAGCCGCAGACCAAAATGAATCGTATTTTTCCTAACTCAATTTACATAAACTGAATGTTCGAATCTTGTAGCATGTTTAGTCTAACTAGTAACTAAAGAAAGATAGCTTAATAATGATAATTAATTTATCTTCATAAATATAACAGTTAGAAAGAAACAAAACGAACACAACGTTTTATAATGACTGTACATTTGTAGAAATACTTTTCTGTTCCCGAGTTGTTGTACATCGTCGTGCTATTGGTATCTCACTTCAGTGTAAAGGTATTAATAACAATAATTTTCGTCCTCGTTGATGCCGAAATGAAGTAGAAACTATTATTTAATTGTTTTAGTGAAGACCAAATGTCTCAAGCCTTGTACAGTACTTAAAAAACCGATGTCGAAAAATCATATTGTTTCAGCAATCGTGAGCTTCGTTATTCTTTTTTCCTCCCCTGTTTCATGCAAGAACGCACCGGTCAACGAGAGTAAAAGCAGCAAACGGTAATGCCATTCAGAATTATTATTTACTATGTGGTAAGCAGATTTCAAAAATAAGTGCTAGAATTAGAAAAATTAATATAAATTACTAATTAGTATTGTCTGTGATATTTAACTAACAAAATTATGTTACATGGTATGGTTGGTTAACAAAAACGCAATGTGTTTTTGTATCAAAAATATTATGAATTTTTTGAACTGCCTAAGTAGTCAAAACCATCAGACATGTTATAATGGCAGCAAATAGCGTCAACAGTTCAAAACACCGGTAATTACCAGTACAGATAATATAGATAATCATTACGTATCTTACCCGCATTCATAGTAATCAGTCGTTCAAGCATACGAAAACATAAACACGTAAATCGATCTTACTCAATGACTGTTGTTGAAACGTATCCAACACCTATGTGACATATTAACACATCCTTCATCCTTGAAGAAAAGCTCTGCATTTTTCGAAGGTACTAGTTGAATATAACAAACTCTAATCCGTAATGCCAGGGTATTTGCAATTTATAAGCTTGCTCAAATTTATCAACTGTATTTCAACTCTTTGCAAACCAAAAGCAAATGGGCGAACACGCCCTGTTCAACTGAAATATAAATAAATTTAAAACTACAGTTGTGGTACTGAAATTTAACTGCTGGTGGCATTTATTATATTCGAACGTCTCCTAGAGAAAGTGTTCGCCTCTCCTCATTGTTAGTCAGTCATAACTATAGCTCTATAGGTTATGAATACAGGTTTGTTCTACGTATTTTTTTTTCGATATCACAATAGATTTTTTTAATCTTCAAATGTTCCTCTCTATTACAGCTTCGTTTTCATCGATGTATAGTAAACAAGAGAAATATGAGAAAATTAAAGAAAAAGATCACAGCTCTATCTATGGTTAACCATGACGCGCCAACTTCAAAACCTTAAGTCTACGTTTCATTACCACACTTAGCATATTAAACTGTGCCTGACGCTTTTGCGTTGTTATGCCATCAGTCGTCGGGTGCATGCTCAAGTGCCACTTTGAGCTGACCTCTGCTTTCCCTGTTCATTTGATGGTCGTACTATCCATTTATCCTCTAGTTAAGAAAAATGAGCCCAACTACCTGGTACATCTAACACAAACTTCTGCCGCTGTTGCTACGAGTCAGTGGCAATAGTGGGGGCGTGCGGCGACGCCACGCCGCCGCCATGAATGACGTATAAAGTACTATCTTATTCTTACTGGGCGACAATATTGTGTTCAACTAGAGCAAACGTACGAGATTCTTCCCAACTGCCTCTAGCATTGGCAGCTCGTAGGAGCAGTAAGACCTAGCCAACAAGTGCCTCGATTACGTAGAGAAACATATATCGTCAACAACAACAACACCGTCGTCTTGTCAATATACGACGACATGCCCCGATCGTTCCTCCTAGCTCCTGACTGAGCTCCTTTTCCGCGCATTTTATGGATGACTCGCGTACTTGTTAGCGCAGCGTATTATTGCATTTTTACGACTATCTTATTAAGTGGACTAGATCATTAGTAAATTATTTCTAGGTCGTTCGTAATATCCTTCCATACAGCTTCTGATGACAAAAATAACGGATGAAATACCTAGAGAATTAGGGAATGGAAAAGATTTGAGAAAGAAATTATACATTTAAAGCACGCAAAAATAATTTCATGTGCGTGTCTTCGCTTTTAGAAAGTTCTGCCCGGATTGCACAGATTCGGCATGCCCTAACCTATTTTAGCACGTTTATATAACACTCGATACACAACAAAAACGCGTTTTTGCCTACATTTATCAGCCAATAGCATTGGCTATTCATATCGCCACGTACATTTACTGCCAATGACATATTTATATGCTATAACATTATAGGTTTTCCCTTCATGCTGCATCACGGCAGGTAGCCAAAATGATATGAACTCCTCCGTCGTCGAAGTTCTGTATAGCCACACCATTTCAGCAGTCCTAGGTACGGTAATGATAATACTATAAGTAGAATTTATGTTATTATATCGTTTGGCAGCACTGAGCCGATATCAGCGCGTTCAATGTTAACCGGCCGACGTTTTCAAGTGTTTTCAAAATATCGGAAAACTCCAACCCATCTAGGCTGACATTGCATTGGCAAAGGTTGCTGAAATTTTTTGTTAGACCATTCTGAATGATCACCACGGCCAGCGACTATGGCCATAAGTGATAATTTCATCTTTTTATGAGGTGTATGAGAGAATCTAGCAAGGGCTTTTAGGTTTTCCTAAACAAAATCTATTTGGCCGATTTTCAAGTAGGTCCTATCTCAGCCCCTAAACGTTTTGTGTATACAGGAAATCCGAGCCCCAGTAATTTGTATGCCGCAGGAATAGTGATAATAATATTAGAGACCGACTTTTTATTCTGCGTAAAAAATATATATCAATGGCAAATAGCCTCGTTTCTGAGTGGCTAGATGTGTATTTTAGAATACAAAAAAACATAACATTTTATTCTATCTTTCTCGAAAATTTTCAGAAACATACTATTTCAGAAACTCGTATTGGAAAACGCCTTTTTATATAATAAAAAATTATAAATTCAACATAAGCGCGTAAACTATTTTTCCGTGGGCAAAAAATACAGTGACAATTCAATGGGTAAGGTCTGCAGCCCAACAAAAGCTTTCTCTGCTAACTGAAACCTAGTCTGTGGTAATCCAAAGTTTTTTTATTTATGAGTAAACGCAGGTAGCTGACCGAAAAGCAGCAAACATTGACTGTTTTGATTAAAGGAATAACATTATTTAAAGAGACTTGTCCTTGTCGAAACCAATTACTACGTCAGTATTAATCTACAAAACACAGTTAAAAAAAGCCGAAATTCAGCGGTTCTGGAAGAGACTAACTTTACATCAACGTTCTACACCTGCCGAAAGTTATATTAGGGAATGTCAAATATTTTAACTGATACAAGAAAACTTGTGGTAATTTGTTTGTTCTTGAAGATTAGGAAAGATCTTCCCGTTTTTACGTTGAGTACGTACTCAATGAAAAAATAAAAACAAACATTAAATAAAGTTCGCGAAACACACGGTTATACGGCTCCTTCTTGGCGGTCCGTTTGCAAGGATAGGTTACACTTACTGCTAGAACTTAAAATTTGACAACGATCTCGACCTAATACTACACATAACGTAATGACATTGAAGGGGCATCTATGATAAAGATCCTCTCACAAACTGGCTGGTGCGAGAGGATCTTTATTGACTAGCAACAAGTAAATGTAAATAGACAAGCCTACATCAGCAGTCGTGTGATCCTAGCGTGCATTCTCTGTCTTGACCCAATTAGTCGTTTGTCTAGCCAACGGTACCTAGTCGTCTTGGCGTCGGGCGTACACCGATGCCGTCAGCAATTTATGTAGCTCGTAGCCGTCTCGCAGTTTCAAGATTCTCCACAACAGAGTAACCAAATGGTAAAAAAATATCGAAACGCATAACAAGAGCCCCGCATATCTAATTGATCGATAGGTGCTTACATCGCGAGCAAGTCGACCTTACTATGAGCCAGCGGATGAGATGAGCATAAGAACACAGGCCGATGTTGTCGTTCTTGCGCTTTGTTACTGTGGAACGACTGGTAGATTTTCCGGCAGCAAAAGCGCAACTACGGCGTACTAGAATTTTTTTTTTATTATGGTTGGACATAAGCACGAGCGTCTAGCAGCTTCACCTTCAGCGCAATGACAGGTACGGCGAATGCTTCTAGCAGATGCGTCATCATCTACGTCGCAGTCGCGATACAATACGCAATACAGATGTAGTAGGAGAAAAATCGAGAGAAATCAATAAATTCGAAGATGGATGCGAAGTAGATTTATTAACTGCAGCGATTCATCCGCCATTAAGCCCATTCGGGACTTTGTTGCGCTTAAGTACATGCCTTTACCCCGCGCGCTCCCTTCTTGAACCTTACAGTTTTGCCAATTTCGCCATTCAAGTCAGTCCATCATGCTGGTGTCTTGCCTGGTAGTTCGATGGTTGCCTTATTCTCCAGTTGATCGCGGACACGCAATTGAAAATTGGTGATAGCCTCTCCTCCGCACGTGTAGTTTCCTGTATCCGAAGTTGTAACGTTCTCTATAAGCAGAGTCCACAGCTCGAGCTTCTGGCCTTGGCTGAACACAGCCTTCAGGCGCTCTGAAGGACCTCTCTGACTTCTCTGTTGCCGCTTAACTCTGTTATGTTGGTTTCCTGCATCATGCTGCTGCATTCTTCCTTTTTGATGTTGCCTAGCCATTGCTGAAGGACCTGTAAGTCCATTTTCTTTCTGAACGGCTTTTTGGTCTTGCTCGAGTTCTTCCTGATCACCTTCAACCTCTGCGGATGCATCCTTTGCACTGTCCTCGCTACTATCCTCGCCTTTTTCCTCTTTTGATTTCTCATTTTT